ATCTGCGGTCGCCAGTCGTTATGAGTGAACTACTCAAGGACGCGTCAAAACGGCTCCCCGACACATCGCTGACGTCTGCCAGATATCTAACATGCCAAATATCTGGAGGAGTCGGCCGACTCGACATCCACATCCAGCCTATAAGAGCAGGCAGCTGGCCGAGCAGGCAGCTACTTTTCCCCACAAAACAATTTATACTCACCTCCAGCTCACTGTGTAGCACAGACAATCCCTGCAACCAGCGTGTGCTAGTCCTTTCTTTCACCCATACCTAGTCTTTGCATTAAAATTGCTATCTTTATAATAAACAACAGCTGAAAGTCGCGTAGTCTGCACAGTCGTTAAAAACCAAGCGGGAAGCTTCCGGTCTACAATATGAAGCGAATGCCGAAGTCCCTGAAACCTGCATTCTATTGAAAATCCAGCAGGGGGCGACTCTTCTGGTTGCAAAAGAAGTCCGGCTCCATTAGAAATAACGGGAAAATGAGTTTATGGTCTCAGTCGCTAGTTTCAAGTCTTCTTCAACACAAAATGATGTTCATTTAGTAAATTATGGTCCCATTTATTTTAAAATAGACCACAAAGAGTATGTTTCAGGACGGGGTTATCTATGATTGACAAGTCGTTACCATGGCGACCTGTCAATCAGGCTAGAGCCGGCTCGTACCCTCGGCGCTGTGTAAATTAACCAGCACCATTGAAAAAGCTTATTAGGAGTTGGCTGTTCACTTTCTCTGGTGAGTACATTTAGTTTTATGACTGTTGTTCACTAGACAAAGTTATCAGCCCTGTTAAAATGACAGTTAACGTGAGTTACAGTTGCACCTAGCTAAGCAAGCTAGCTAGCGCCGCACACGGCCGTGAGCTCCGCCGTATCGTCACTTCCCGGATGCAAAACTCGACATGGCGGTGCCCTATCGGCCAAACTCGAGGCTTCAAAACAGCAGTCCACAAACCAACGTCACGATGACTACATCCATTACTTATATACAGTTTATGGTAAAAACACATGTTCTGGGTTTTTGTTCCAGGAAAAACACTCCACTGCTTAAAACAATACATTTTATTCTGGAAATAGTTACTGTTACAGAAGTTACTGTGCACAAGAAGGAAATCGGCACATTGTTGCCACTTGATGAAATGAGCACAACAGGCAGCTTTGTTGCTCTAAGAAAAATAACCTACCACCTTTTAAAAAGTTTGTTACTCGATTACTGTAGATGGCAGCTGTGCAACTCTGAATAAGAAGCGATGTATTGAATTTTTTCCTACAGCTTTAAAGGAAAAGTTTATCCTGTATCGAAAGTGACTGGGAATGCTGCAAGACTAAGCTTGTGAAGTTGTGTGGACACGTGTGCAGCATGGAAACTGTTCTCAGTGACATGGAAATAAAATTGCAAAGCCAGTAGGATGACCCCATGGCAAAAAAATCTCTGCACTTTCCATCTGCCTGAAGCAACAGATCAGTCTATTTATATTTCGCAATTTAACACGCTGAAACAGAGAGGGAAAAACCCCCACAGGTTTTATGTTAAAATGCTAATTGACCTATTTATTCTCTCAGTATTCAACAGCTTGCAAGATTAAACACATACTTTGCATTACATACATAAGTGCAGGCAATAATTATGTCTCACCATGGAGTCCTTCACCAGTAGGCACAAATGGATACTAAACTCCCTGATGCTTAAGCGTTTTATAATAAGATAATTATTTTAAAATAAGATACCTAATACCCGCCATGTATCGAAATACACTATTGTATTATTGTATTTCAAAAATCCTAAAAATCCTTTTCCAAAATGTCATGAAATTACTTTGCAAACCTTCTAACAGCCTGTTTGATCTATCCCTTCACCAGTACACTGACTCAGCTAATTAAGTGGACAATGTTTGAGAGCAACAGCTTTTCTCTGCCTAATGAATCATGTGATAAATCTGACATACAACCAGTTAACACATCCGATATTCAGGTTAGGTTTAAAGTAAGCAACAGTTTAATGTTTAATGACTCCCAACTGTATTCCAATTTAGTTACTTGGTGCTTGGTACTAAAGGGCCTACTTGCTGTTTAATGTTGTGACTCGTTGTGAATGACAATAAGGTACAGGTGTGTGCATTTAACAAATTAGACCATCTTGTGGCATTATAAAGATTTAGTCTAGGCTACTAAAACAAACAGGCACTGTTAAGAATTGTAGCAATTTATGCTAAAAATCAATAGAAAGCTGGTGACCTACAAGTTTCTCACTTCGACCTTCTTCTTCAGATTAGGATAAAAATTCTGTTCTGATCCCTACAAGTCTGGGCAAATAACTGAGTAGGCAGCATTTTAATGATGTCATCACCTCTCACAAAAGTATTTCACATTATTTTTAAACTACAAAACACTAAAGACATTTTCATCAATCCTATCAAATACAAATTTAATTTATTTTGTTTTTGAAATATGCATTTTAAATACAGGTTCATAAATACTGCCCATCTCTGGCAGCAACTACATAGAGATTCTGATTTGGGTGTTGCAGGAAAAGGTGTGTGTGTGTGTGTGTGTGTGTGTGTGTGTGTGTGTGTGTGTGTGTGTGTGTGTGTGTGTGTGTGTGTGTGTGTGTGTGTGTGTGTGTAGTAGCAAAAATATCTTGGGTGAGAAGAACGTCTGGCTTGTAGTACTTTCAGGAAGTGAATGCTGTCACACATGCAAAACATTAGTAATTACAGAGAAGTTTAATGACGGCTTTGTTCCAAAGCAGACTGTGCGTTTGACGTTTATCCTTAACTATTGGTTATCACCTCCATTAAAAGTGAAATACCTTCAATCTGAGAATTCTGGACAAATAAGTGCAACATAACTACTTTGAAAATGAAACATAACTGGTCTCATCCAAATATAAAATATGTCTATGTGGATTACCAAGTAGGTCTGGACGAATAAAAATTTCCTTCAAAGATGTAGAAATCATACTGAAGGGAGGCCATGTGAATAAACAAAGACTGTGGTTAATGAACACACAAAAAGCACACCGCTGCTTTGGCCAGCTTTGTTGACGGGATGTGATGAATAACACTTCCTGTCTAACTCTGAAGCTTGGAAACCAGAGACACCTAATGTGTTTTTTTATATAAAAAAAAAAATATATATATATATATATATATATATATATATATATATATATATATATATATATATATATATATATATATATATATCTCACCTTATTCTCTGGAAATTTAAACCTCACCTTATTTACGACAAAACAACTGCATCAAGACACAAACCAAGAGATGACCAGAGCAGATGGGAAGAAGGCAGAATAAAATAGGAAAAAGCAAGGAAATGAAGAAATGGTAACAAGAGGAGCTAAATGACTCAGCTCTGTGTCACCATCCTGCCCATGTACCTGGGATGACGCCTCATGATGTCAAACCACTGCCCTATTCCTCATTGTAATCAACAGCGTAACGGGTCAATTTGATAAAATAACCTTTTAAAAAGATTACAAAAATACAACTTCAAATAAATTCTACAAACAATGCTGGCACATGAAACACATAATCTCTTTATCATAGTGGAGCTGATGAGATTTTGAGCATTCCAACCAAGAAATACCACAACCTCAAGGTGGCTTATCATAAGTGCCATAATGCCAAACCTAACAAGAGATAAGAGACTGGCTTGTAATCTCTCCAGCTCAGCTTTATCTCAGTGTCCCCCAAGAGTGAGAGCCCACCCACAGCAGAAGCAGATGCATGGCATGACAGGGGTGAACACTAGCAGGGAATGCCCCTGCTGAAAATGTCTCATACACTGTATTGCTCATCTGACTAAATGCCACTGGTCCAATACTGTAGGTCTTTAGTGATGTAACTAGTAATTTGTACTGATAATATATTGGTGTTTGATCTCTCTCTCTCTCTCTCTCTCTGACAGATTTTTTATCTATATATAGTTTTAAAGAGCCTAAATGTCCACAATTTTTAACTGGCCGTACTTAATCAAAGAAAGTAACATGTGAAAAACAACAATTTCATTTTTTTTTACTTTATTATTTATTTATAGATTTTACTTGAAATCTTGTTCGACTTAATATCCAATTAAATGTCATCAGGAACAGTCTTTTTAGTCCCACTGTGTTACCTGTGTTCATTACTTTACTGTTAATAGCTATATGTGTACTTTTACTTTGGCATGGTCTCATCAACAGAAAGGGGCAACAATTAGAAAACAATTATCAGTGCGATATGAGCTGATTTACAAGTAAGACTGTTGGCAGCTTTTCTATGCTAAAGTCAAACTAATGAAATTAGTAATGAAATAGTTTACATTCTTCTTGTTAACATTAGATTTACAGAATGTGAAAAAAACATTGGTGGGGCGCTGTAATTCTATATTTCATTGGTGATGCTTTGACCATCCTAATCAATTAAAAGGGATTTAATCCTATTAGGGTTGACAGTAGGTGTTGCCTAAATTGACTTTGTGCTCGTTAAAAGCGGTTGCCTTTCTGGGTTTTCTGGAGTCCGTGCTCTCTAAGCTTAGACGTGGCCGAGACCCCAGATCCATTACCTTCGAAAGAGGAAGGGAAACTAGGATACTAATGAGATTCCCTCCTTGTGCTACAAACACTGCCAGCGTGACGTTCGCGAATGATTCAGACATTTCTGTGGTCATCAGTGCGGTCATTGCATTCATCACTGTCCTCTATTAACTTCATTGGGACATTTTCCGACTCTCGCACAATATAATTACCAGTGTCATATGGGTGGAGCAGGGAGAGCTTGGCTACAAGCACTAGGTCTACAGGGGGATAGTGCTGTATGGAGAGAGTACTTCCATTCACTTCCTGACCTATGTTAGTCTTCTCTGGTGGAAAGGTTCAAACTTGACACACTCCTTGCACCCTAAAACATGCAACTACACACAAACCACAGTATAAACAGACAATCACATACCAATACACACTAACTGACATACATCTGCACACACTAACACATTTACTCACCTGCAAGTCAAAGAACTTGCTGTAGCGTCTGTAAATGATTTCCGTACTGCCATCGCTCCAGGACACTTTGATAATATAAACCTGGAAAAGCAAAAGACAAAAACAAAATGGAACATTTAATGGCGCCGTAGAATGGAAATCTGTATTTCCCTTGGCATAGTTGAATAAAAAGAGTTCAGTGCATGTAATTGAAATATTGTGAGTCTCAATCTCCATTGTTTCCTCCTCCTTAAATCTTGCGCACCCAAAATACCCCCGAAAACCGCAGGAATGCCAGCAAGCGCTAGATGTTACGTAATTTCTGTGCAGTGCAGTGTCTCTCACAGAAAGTGCTTTTACGGTTGTGAAGGAAAGGTAAATATTTTCTGGTTTCCCCTCTGATGTCCTCTGGTTGTTCTGCCTCAACTCCGTGATTTATGAAGTTTCCTGATGGACAGATAGCTTTACTTGTTCCTACTGCTACGGATTGCTAACCGCTAGCTGTTGCTAACTGTTATCAGCTGGCTCTGAACTAGCGGTCCAAAGCTTCTGTAGTAATGTTAGAGGTGTAAACACCAACACACCGCACGGGGTGCCCCACGGCACGGCTAACTAAGTAGCTAACTTAGTAGCAGCTGCTGTTAGCAGTAGTTCGTATCTAAATGGACTACAGTTGAAAATTAGCCTGCTGGCTAACACTGGCACATTTACAGAAATGTTTATTAATGTGCACTGTCCTTAAATAAATAAATGAAATGAAATGAAATAATATGTTTTTTGAACATTAAACCATGTAAACATTTTCTACTAAATACTTGTATGAACCTGAAAATGAGCATTCTACGGAACCTTTAAACTAACAGACAGCCATTATTGTCAACCACTTGTAATCCCAACCCCCTGGGGCATCACTCCTGACTCATAGTGCCTGTAATTGGCAGTGCTAGAGAGAATAGCACGAGGAAAGGCAGACACCAGGCTGGTCAGGCAACATGATGCAGTGGTCACTGTCATTATCCGTTCACATGAACGAAATAGGGATATCTGATTATTTCACTTCCCGGTCTGTTTGCATCACTTCCTGCTGAAGTCATTATCCTGTGTGGAGCTGTTTGACTATGCTGTCTTTTTAAATTGCAGCTCTTTGGGTAACACTGTATTGCCATAAAGAACTGAGCAGCAAAAGCAGCAATGGAAAAATCAGTTCATGAGTTTGATGAATCCTTCAATACAATAGAACATCCCATTCTAAATGTATGCAGACTGCAGAGACACCATTAAAATACAGAGACGCCTTGTATTGTTTCATTTGTGGCACCAAGTTAAAAATGTACTTCTTGTACATATGAAACTGCAAATTCCAACAGCCTCATATCAACAACAGTAAAACCTCACAAAGCACCCAGCCTAGGCTAATCATTGCAGTCTAGAGGCAAGACACAGTTCTTTATTTTTCCTCTGAAGAAGAAGAAGAAGAAGAGGGGAGAGGCAGGGAGGTGATTGGAAACTCCCTGGTGGTTCACTGTGTCTGGCTGCATGCTGTTGGCCCCACTCCCAGACCTTCTCTGGCCTTGCTCTCTTCCAGGGCACTAGAGTCAGACATGACCACGGTTGGATGGACCAACTACAGGAGCTGTACAGGCCAGCTGTCTTCATGAAGTTATGGAGTTATAGCCTAAAGCATATATTTATTCCAAATTCAGTGTGTGTGCATAAACTAATGGAGGGTTATGGTAGGGTCAGGGTATTGTCTGTGGCCAAGTACTACTAACTAGCCTAAATTCTCAACAATTAAGACGGAGAACTACTATATGCAAAAAAATAACTATAGTGAGCTTCCCCCCCCCCTTATTACAATTTAAGCTCTTTAAACTACAACACCTACAATGGCAACTGAGGATGAAGACATAGCATAGAAGAAGAGCAAAGCTATTACTTTAGACATAAAAGCTTCTCTGGTCAATATACCACTAATACTGCCAATAAAATGCTCTTATATCGGTAAGTCTCTAGGGTATATGATTTTTCAGGGGGTTTTCATTTTTACAGGAGGTTCAAGAGCTATAAGCGGCTTTTTGTACTCTTAACCACACCTCCAGGGTTCTGGAAGATTTAAGGTGTCCGGTTTGGCATGTGTAGAGAGAGTAGCAGAGGCACAATACAACATGGGCTGTACCAGAGTGCAAGCAGACAGATGGAAAAGACACAGGACCTCGAGAACTCTGTGTCCTTGACCACTAGCACTCACAGCGGTATAAGGTCTGTTGGTCCCTCAACCCAAGCATCATTTTCACACATACATGGATGCAAACCAACATAAGCATTCAAGCGTGTGCACAAACACACAGAACTAACACGAACACCTGCTAAGGCGTTGGCAGTGTCTCTTACTGTTGGCCCTCTAGATCGCATGATGTCATATGTGTTACTTTAAATCGACTGAGCATTTCTGCAGACAAAGTCGCCCACAGGTATCTCCCACTATTCATTTTCAGACAAGAATGATGAAAGCTCTATTGTTTATGAATAGCAGCAAAAGAAACCAATGGGTCTTTGTCTTTTTGACATTCTTGTCTCCCACACAAGCTTGACAGTGCCAGTGGGGAATGATAGTTTAAAACAGGAAAGATATCCCGACACACAGTAATGGGAATCGAACAGATACCCTAAATTGGCACAGATACTGTGTGCCGATAGAGAGACACTGTTAATGAGATAATCACAACATTATCACCTGACATCTCTTAGAGACATAAGGATATTTTCACTTTGAATGTCTTCATCAACTAAACACTGCAGAAGTAGAACTATTCTGTGTTAATAGTCTAATTATCAATAGATTTTGTAATGTTTGACTAAAATAAAGCCCCAAATGGCCTAAATAAAAACTGTCCAATGTACAGTATTACGAAATTGAAGTGAAACATCTATAAATACCAAACTTCCCTTGTCCAAACATTGCCTTGTGTTCACTGTGATGACTTAGAAACCCTGTTAATTATACTTCCTGGTTACCAGTGCCTTTAGGTATGTTTTTCTGAGTAAATTGGAGAGCCTGAGGCATGACAAAGCTGCAATTTGAACTCTATCCTCAGGGGGATTAGTCTGGAAGGTTTGTGGACTGGGCTGATTTGCCTATTAAGATGTTTTCTGTGACCTTCCACTATGACGGCACACATAGGGGGAGCAGGAAAATGACAAGCATTGAAAGACATTTTGCTACACTGCAGACTTGAGTAGTAATTTATAATCTCTATATTCACATACATTGTTCTTCTGAATTGCTTATAAAGTAGTCACTTGAAGGTATGTAGACTTAGGGAGGGTCATAGATCAGATAGCCTAAATCCATTTGAATGCGCCTTAATGTAACCCAAAACAACAATACTGACCTCAATCCCTGTAAGCAGTAAAAGACAAAAGTTGGTGGTACAAGACTCAAACAAAGAACAGCCTGACTCAACGGTAAGATGTCAGCTGGGGGAACAACTTAAACAAGGCTGTGTAGCCTAACTATTTAAGGCTGTCAAGTTTCAGTGTTTATTGTCTTTTTTAATAAACCAATTTTCTCAACAGATAGGTGTGCTAACAGGCTTTATGATAAAATAATGATTGGTCTAATAAATCTGAGCAAGTCTAACGGTCCATTTCGCCTGGCGTGGTAAACTGTAATTTGATACTGTCTTTGTTTTTATTTAACCCGACAGGAAAGGGAGAACTGCGAAATAACCTCGATCTGTTGCTCACTTAAAGCAGCAAAACCCTGGCGCTGTGATACTTAAATGAGGCTTACGTAGTGTTTGTTCGGATTTCTCCGCTTCTGGACATCTTGAACTGTTACTTCTTGCACGGTGCGCCGTGGCATGATTTCCTCTTCTTTACGCCTCCGTCAAAAAGAAAAACAGCAATCCCTGTTGGGTTTTGCGATCGATCAAACCCGGTTGAGAAAGTTTGTACGGCGACGCTTCTTTGTCATCCGCGCCGCTCAGACCTGTGACCTCTGAATGCAACAAATGGTATTTAGAGGTATTTAAAGAGGTCTACGTCAAATTTCCTGTCCAACATGCAGCCGTTCAGTAGCCAGAAGTTGTGGGTCGGTTCTTCGCTTCCCCCACTTCTTGTGTCTAGTCCCGTCCCCGCTGACGGTCCAACCAAACTCCCAGCCTATCCCAGCTCGCCCACTCCCATTAGAGCAACCGGGAGGCTTCATAATGTGCTCCATGGACCAACCCTCCAGCGTCAGAGCAAACCACAGGTTCAATCAATACACTTAAAGCTGCATAACGTTACAATATTCAGCTGTCAAACTGTTAGGTGACTTTAGATATGTTTGTATTTGAAACGTTACAACTAACTTTAACTTTACCACTTGGAGTGGCAGAAGCTGGACATTTCAACCATTTATCCATTACCTTTAGCTAACTATTTAAACCATGTTGCCATTATTTTTAGCTAACGTTAACTAAGCTAACAATTTCAACGATTTAGCCATAAGTTCAAACTTACTTTAAAGCTATTCCAAACATTATGTCGTTTTTCATGCTAACGTTAGTCATTTCAACTATTTACGTTAGCCATACTTTTAGCTAACTATTTAGCCATATAGTTCTATTTCCACCTTATTTTATGCTATTTCAGCCATTTATGAATTGTTAGTTATTTAAACAATCTAGCCATTAACGTTATTTTTAACTATTCCGGCCATGTATCAATTACTTTGAGCTGTCCATTTTAATCATTATTCCTTAACGCTACTTTTAGCTAACACTGTGTGTCCTTTAGCTAAATGCTAACGTTAGCTGTCCATACAGCTCATTTAACTATCTAGACTTTTCTGCTTTGTGGCTAAAAGTTAACGTTAGTTCACACTCTCTTACCTGTGGTGTTCAGGTGTTATAGCTGACTGTATGTGCAAATGCATTTTAAAATGTTTTTGTTTCAAATTAGTTGAACTAAGTTAATCACAATTTTTCCACGACACCTGGCAACTGCCAAGTGTCTAACTAACATTAAGAAAGTACCCTCTGGCTTACAAGCAAGTTGGTGTCACCGCCAAACAGATTGTAAAGGCTTTGTGATTTGGGGCTATGTGATTAAAACCCGAATTGACTTGCGTGATAGAAGTGTGTGAAAATATCTCAAAGGAAACAGCATCTGTTCGAGGTTTCAGGATAACTGGATAAAATGTATTATTGTTAATTATGGGACATGTGAATATGGCATTTTATGGATCATCAAATATTTTTGTAATTTGCTCATCTCCACAGTTGCTGGTGCATTTTGACAGCAACATAGTATGCTTTTTAACCTAAATCCACCACAGGCTTCCTGTAGACAGTTAAGTAGCAAGTAAGTCTCTCTGGGTAGTAACAGTTGCTAATAGTGGTGGAAAATGTAAAACTTGTATGAATTGGGGTGAAAGGGAGGAACAATTAAGTTTGACTCACTTAAGACTGCATCACAAGATATCCTCGTGTGTATGTGGTTAATGTTTCTCAGTTATGAGATGACTAAACCTGCGATGGGTTAACCTGGAAGTGAGATCATTTTATAATAAAGCTCTCTGTTAATATCACAGTGATACGCTGTTCTTTGTTTTAAATGTAACCATATTTATTCATAAGTAACTCAAACAAAAGTTCATACTTCTAAAATGTCTCAAATTTACAGATTTAAAAGAGCCTATTGGCCAAGTTTGATATTTGACTGACAATTTCGTTGCTAGACAGCTCCATCTTTTGGTGTCTTGTACTCATTACATTAATACTGTATATGTGGCAGTTTTTCCCCTATCTGAGGAGGACATTCCTTGCAGAATTGCAACATATTAATATAAAATGATGGCTGGCTTACAGAGAAAATGTCAGGAGAAAGAATTGTCATAGCAAGCTGGAATTCAGAATAAAATATTGATTGATTTATTTATTCTTCATGACAAGTTACTCCCCAATTTAAACTTGTGACAATCTTCATTTTACTTCCAACTGGATTATGGAAAGTAGAAACCACTTGAAACAAAAGCAGAAATGAAGTTAGAATTTATTGCATCATTTAATTCCCAACAGATTATGTAAAAGGAGTCATAAGTTCACGTTGAGGGATGGAACATTTTTCATACAAAAGGAGAAGGAGAAAAGTATGCAAGAGTCATAATTATTAGGAAAATTTAGTTAGTTTCCAAACTAAAAAGGGGAACTTTATAAAAATAAATGGCATTCGCTGGAGAAAAGGTAATAATGAAAAAATATACAATGGCTAAAACATGACTTAATTTGCTGTCATTAGGGGGAAAAAACATGTAGTTCCCATAATGTGAGACATTGGTTTTGAAATGCTGTCAGGCTGTATTATATAGAGGATGAAGAATTGGGACTGTTGCATCGTAAGATAGATTTTAAATGTGATATGAAAACACTAGTGTCAGAGCTGTTGATTAAAATGTTAATTTTCAGGCCACTGAAAAGTTGTCATTTTTAGGAATTGGGAATTGTTATCTGCAGGAAGGTAAAGGTTACAGGTTGCATAAAAGATGAAAGTCAGAGGTCATATTAAAGGTGAAGGGTCAAGGGTAATTTAAAGGAGTTGAGGTCATATGAAATGTCACCGGTAAAGACTGAGACTTTAGAGGTCATATGAAAGGTGAAGGGTCACTGCTGTCACACATTTGCAGCTCCAGGTGTGATGTGATGCCGGAGAAACGTTCCTGCAGTGGCAACAGATAACCCAAGGCTTCCCCCTGAGCCACTGGGCCCATGTAATGAAAAGGACGGATGTTGAAGATCTTCACACAGTGTACTGGATTAAACAGAAATAAAAAATTCAGTTGGATATTAATGCCCTGTTATCATCCCCTTGCAAGAGTTTTTTTAATGTGAATACCTTTTTCCTCCAATAATTTAAGAATATCAATGACATTTTTGTTATAGAAAAAGATGGGGCTAATGCTAAGGGTGAACTCACAGACACAACCAAGAATATTTTGGGAGTTTAAGCTAATTTATACATGTGAAGATAGGTTGTTCTCATTAGGGTGAATAGATGTGTAAAATAGGAATCCTTCCTGATCAAAAATTTTTCAGCAAAAGGACTTAGAAAACATTTGCATTCTCCTCATCTTGGTCAACTGCTTCTAAAAAGCTATAAATCTCTCTTCCTCTTAATTACAATTTGTACAAATGTATATCACACCTTTCTTGAATTGCTGCTAGGCCACACAACAAATACGAAATATGGCTTATAATTTCTCATTTATTATTTCCAAATGGATCAACATAGGCTCAAGACCCTAAATCACAACTTTCTTACCATCTCCTTTTCACTATTCTGTAGACAAAAACAAGAAAGCTGCAAACTTAGAAACAAACAACCCAAAAAGTAGGCTAGCCTATAACACCATCATTAAATCCTACAGGCTCTTAATGATGAGTGTCTCAGCATTAATGTGGGTATCATGGCAAGGTAATGTGTCCCTGTGATGTCTAATCATGTCTGTGTTTTACCCAGAGATGAAAGGAGCTGACACTACATGTGTTCTTCTGATAATACAGTTCAATTAGGGGTAGAGGCAGAATGAGGACTAATGATGTTTACTCATCACTCCAGTGCCTTTATCAACTCAGGATGCTCTCAAAGTAAACTCACTCAAACAAGCGCGTACAGACACAAATGTACTGTACATTGCAAAGGCATGTGCGTGATCTTCTGTCAGCCTCTATCCACACAAACACACAAACGCTGATGCATGGCTTTGTTCTGTAATGATGGCCCTTAGTGGGGGTTATTACTCATGAACAGCCTTTGATGGTTTCACATGCAGCTGGGTCCTGGTGTTAGCGGCAACCAGGAGTTCAGTGGAGTCTCAGCCCCCTTTGCAACACCACCTCTATATCACTCCTTCATCCCCTTAATAACCTAACACCACCTTTGCCCTAGCCCTGGCCCTATATACTACAGATTACAGGAAAGTACTTGCAGTGGTAACAGTACAAGGTTACAGTTGTCCAATCAAACCTGCTTTTTCATTACTTTCTGTTGCAGCAAATATCAGTATGACTTCCAGGTGTAATATCCCCCAGCGGTTTTTAACCATGCTAAAGACGTTGTTCTAGGGAGAGGCCGACACAGAAACACACTCTGTAGAGCAGTTTGTTCGTTCGTGCTACTGCAGACACATGGCGGTCCAACACTGAAGGGTTTATGTACATAGAAATGTCTCATTCTAAGGTAATAAAAACATATTATGTAAGATCTTTATACACCACTGAAAATATATTTATGTATATTATATTGCATTTCTGTCAAGAGATCCTCCCAAATATTACACACTGGACCTTTAAGTAAAATTTAACTGTTTACTTGGATTATATTTATTGTATTATGTATTATATTTAGAAAGACAGATGCGCTCAAAAGTCTAGACTTTAATACTGACTTCTATGTCAATGTTGATTTTCAGAAGTTTCTTTCCCTTGCTGCACTCACTTTCAAGTACTGCATTGATATTTTGTCCTCCTTACCATCATTGAGAAGTTTGACCCCATCATACTGATGCCCAGCAGAGTCTTTCCGACTCACTGGACCCACTAGAGAGCCTGAGAATGGAGTGTTGACAATACCATAGTCATCACACACCAGGTCCACTGCTTTATGTAGGTCATCACCTCTGTAAGAGGAGCGACAGAAAAGATTGGAATTACAAAGTCTTCTTAAAACTGTTTTTAATTAGTCATATTTTACCAAATTAGTTCAAAAGATACTCTAATTTATCTGCCCAGCCCTCCACCCAGAGAAAGCTAGACTGATCAACAATAAAACTTAAGTAATCATTTAAGGTGATGTCATTTCCAGACCAAATAAATGAGCCAATTCAAAGGAAACGAGACACCAAAGTTAAAATACCTTAACTATTTTCTCTGTGATGTGGAGCATTTGTCATGTCTACCTCCTAACCAGTCTGATCACACAAGAAAACATGTCGGAAGCAACATAGTGAACTGTTGTGGAGAATATGCCAACACCAGAAATGCTGCATAGTCAACCCACGTGCACTTGGAAGATCTCATGTTGCAGCATGAGCAATCTTCTGACGTTTAAGCGAGAAGATCACCTTCTGGAGTTGAAAGCGCCACAGCCATGTGCATCACACGACCTCACTCTGTTGTTGTGGTGACCAGCACAA